CATCTTTTTAAGTGGGAGAACTTGCACAATTGGTGGCTGACTAAATACTTTTTTGCCCCACTGTATGTTTTCAGTAAGCCCTATTTCTTTATATGCTTTGGTATTTTTTCATTGATCACAGTTTCAACCAATTTGCCACCACAAAGTGTTTAGTTTACTAGTCTATAATTTCCTGAATATCTCAATTTCCTTTTTAAAAATTGGGGTCACACTGCATACTATCTGGCCCCCTGACACTCAGCCTGATTGAGAGACTAATTACATACTATGAAATCAACAATTTCACATTTTAGTTATTTAAGAACTCTTGGGTAGATGCTCAAGACCATGTGATTTATTACTGGGACTTCCAGGGAAGAAATGGTGGACTGAAGACAGCCTGGTGAAAAGTGAAGCTGACAACCGCAGTGGAATGAAAAGCCAGCACATAGGCCAGCTCTTCGATAATTCTTCTCTGGATAAGGAGAGAACTTGAGATTGTTTACAAGTGCTCCAGACAGCTGCTCCTCATGAGGAGACCACAAGATAGCGGTCTCCAGAGGGTTTAGCGCCCTGGGAGACCAGGGAATAGCCATCTTGCTCAAACTACAGTCAGCACATTTGAAAGGACACTAAGTTTGCATACTTCCGTTTCTTACTACTTTTGGAAATTGCTTGTTAACTGCTTTTCAACTATTAGGAACCTTTGGATCAACAAATTTTATAGCACCAAGTGAGTTTCCTTCAATCCTTAGCGAAACAAATTTTAACTACAAATTTAAGAAGTTAAAACATTTTTGGGGGGAATAAACAGCAAAAGGTGGTTAAAACTTTGATTTTAGAAAGTAACAAATGGGCTAAGGGTCCAGATAAATTTGAAATAAGATTTTTGGAATTAATTATAAAGAATCCTTCTCATGGGAAAATGCTTTTGTTTTGAATTTCTTAAAAAAAAATAATAAGGTAAGACTTTAAAAACTGGACACTAGAGGGAACTAAAAATTATAATTAAAAGAGAAAAACACTCAAACTCAACTTACATTGCAGAACAAAGCAAAATATTTTAACACTGGACATACTGAAGGATATTATTGAACAATGGACCCAGAAGTTAATTGTGTCTGCCTCTATAGATAGACTGTGCTTAAAAGATGTTATAGAAGGAGAACAAGTTTTACCTGACAAGATCAAGACTGATTTGAAAGAGGATTTAAAAATGACAGGCTGCAAGAATTGACGTGGAAGATGTTACACTGGACATTCAAAAGAAACCAGCTGATGTCTCAATAATTAAAAGGGATATACAAATAACAAACAAACAAACAAGAGTGACCTGGATAATTTTCCTATATTGGATTTACAAAGAGGCTTGTTTAAATTCTGATGAATTTTGTGAGAAGAGACAAAGAAAAAAATGAGAAGAAATCAAGCTCTACGACATTATTTGATAGAACTAAAGGTCAAGATTGTTAGAAGGAAGGAATATAAAGTTAGTATATTTGATCAAGATTAAAATAGATATGTTGTTATCCCTGGTAACCCTTAATGGACTGAAATGACAAGGCTTTATGGATTTGTTTATAGGTAAGAGATGGGATATGGGAAGAAGAGATCATTT